CTGCAGCTACAATCGTGTAGCTACAAACAGGGACGTGTCATTCCCTTCGTTAAAGCGTGCGGAGGTGAGGGGGTATTTCGCCGAGCGCAAAGCATTGCAAAGTATCAGAGCCCTGGAATGAGCGAGCCTAGACGCTCATGCGACGCCGCGCCACCTACCGGCATAGGCTCAGAGCCGCTCAGCTCATCTCCGGGTGAGCCGAACGGCGCTCAGCTCAGCTCAGCTCAGCTGAGCGGTCGACGCTCAGTCGGGGCGACAGAGACAGACGTATCTAGCAGCGGCGAGTGCGAGAGAGACGCGAGCGCCCGGCCGGCCGGTAGACCGTCGATACTCCCAGCTCGAGAGACTTTACAGAACCTCTACCTACCCTACCTCACACCACGTTTTGGAAACGAGCGTCCGGGCTCGCTCATTCCAGGGCTCTGCAAAGTATGCGCGGGCGGGCAGCGGGCACGGGACGGCACACGGTCGATACCCCGCGTCCGCGTATGTTCCCTGTGCGCATAGAGTATCGCCAGTACCCTAAGTGTTGTATATTTATAAAATTTTTGAATTATGTCTCCAGATTTGGACGTCTTGTTGATTCTTCGTATTTGTGTTCCTTGCTGAGGGTATGTTAAATGATATTGCAAACCTTACTTTGGACGATCGGTGAGCTTTAATATTTTCCAAATATTCACAATTTCACATTCAATTTTGAGTGACAACATAATAATGTTACAAAGAAGTTCACTAGAAAAATGAAGCAACAGAGGAGTTTTGCGTGCATAGGAAGAGAAATAGGAATAGAGAGGTTGGTGAGCAAGGCAAATGACAGGCAAAAGGGGCAAATACAATATTATCCTTGACATCATTGAACACAAATCATGTTACAACTATCGTCATACAAAATTGAGTTTGAGTTTAGATCAATATGAGGTAGCTGAAATGTACTCAAAAATCGTCTGTGAGCACATGATAAATATTACATTACTAGAACACACTTTCAATAACTATAAAAGAAAAGGAAACAGGGAAAGAAGAGGCTTATAAATTTACTGAACTTCTGAATGATTATAGCCAACAGGTATATTGAGCAGCACACACCTCATTTAACTTTTACACTGATGAAAGGCTCAAGGACCAACACTATAAAAATGTACGTATATCAGTTACATAAGGCCATGCATTTTAGCTCATTGGTATTTGAAACTTAAACATTCCAGAGGAAAGATTTCATTTCTGTATTTTATGATTCTTAAGTAGAAACAAATGCTTTGCGCATAATGCTTTCTACAACTTTAAGCTTATTAATTAATAGAATCTCAGTTAATTTGATGATTCTGGGTGGGCCATATCACAAAAAAGAAACAACAAAATATCCATATATTTAATTCTAAGGGTCTGAGAAAATCACAAAATCGCTGGGTTGATGAGGGGAAAAGGAACCTTGTGTGAGCTTGTTAAAAAGTTTTGGGAGAGTTTGTTGTCGTCTCCGTGTCATTTGAAGAACTCTTTCAAAATAAATATTGGAAGAAAAAACTACTTAGAGCACAATGCTTGTCATATTTTTAGATCCAATAAGAAGCCAAAACAAATTTCAGATTTACAAATGTTTCAATTTATTTTTGAAATGGATCATGAAATGATGAACATATATGTTCTACAAGCATCATCTGTACAGCTTGAACGGAATGCATTAAAGTTAACCACTAGACCAATGGCCTGCATCCTGGAAATTGTTGTGTTGGTTACAATAGGAATCTACCACAACAGCTGACAGCTGCCACTTAAACTCACCATAATCTACCTTTTTAAATTTGAAATTGATTGTTTGATAAGGAACAAATATTAATGTACTACTAGTATGAATCACAAAAAATTGACATGAATTGACCTTCATAAAAAAAAACTGTCATGTTCAAATCAGAGGCATGTAAGCAGTACAGCTACAGCTGATGAAAACGATTCATTAAGAAAAAGCTGGTTTTCAAACAATGTACTGTCATGAATCCTACACAGGAAAAGAGAGCTTTATAGCAAAAATCTACATCATGAACGTTACAATTAAGTACATTGAAAAACGATTTGGAACGAGATCTGTATAAGATTGGAGGGAAGTTATTGACAAGAACACTACAACATCCAATAGAAAAAAATGAAAGACATTTAATGGCTTTAAATACTAATGAATGAGGCAAATGAGTTTTCTTTCAGGAGAAGGAGAGGAAGGCTGCCAGATCTTGAGGTTTTCATGCAGAAAACTATTCAAGACATTATTCGGTAACTCCTAGGACATGAGATTGATGAAATTATTATAGGAATTTAATGCCTCAAATTTATGTCAGTAAACTTTAAATAATTTTCTTTTGGACCTTACTGGAACTATACACACAATAGCACCATGAAAACGACAATATTGAAAAAGTCACGTAGAAGAGTATGAACCTGAATGAGAGAGACAAACTCTTTATCAATTGATAGCTTAGAACAGCAAAGGCCCAAAACAGAAAAATCTACTCTTAAGAGAGAGCTGGTAACAATCTTTGGCACAAGGCAGAACGCCATGAAATGAGCAAGGTAATGATGACAGATATTATGCTTGGAATTCCTATAATTAAGAAGACCAAAATTAACTCTATGCCATACAAAGGACACTCTGAACATAAGAAGCTAACAAATTATACCATATTCAGATAGGAGATAAATTCGAGGCATTAATGCATCACATAATCGCTGTACAATTGAACTAACTTAAAAATAGTAGGTACATAAATCTGCGTTTAAAAAAAATTCACAGAGGTATTCTTACACTGCCATTTCTCTTATAAAGGGAATATTTATACATTACAACATACAAAACATACCTATTTAGGTGCTCATATTTTATCTGCTCAACACATAAATATTTACTGTCTGCGTGCATAAATCAACACAAATATAAACATGATCAAAAAAGAAAATGAATAGTAATTGTTATCATTATTAATCAGACACTTTCAATTAGAAATAAGAATAGATAAAACAAGCATGTGGTATATCACAACAGTTATGAGTCGACACAAAGAGCTTCCAGTTCCGACAAGACAGCCAAACCATTAATCTAACTTTCAAGACTGAATAGAGGTGGAAATATTCCTAGTCCCTAGTGGTAGGTCACAGACACATCATCACGATCTATCAAAAAGAAAAAGAAATTCCACTCAGTTGGCAAACTGTATCTTACCACACTAATACAACACCCCTACCTACAACCATACACACCTGCTTGACAACTGCTAACAACTTATCACATATCAGTATTTCCTTACGCCTAATAATTTCCATCAGCCTTAACAAGTCTCCACCAGGGTCATGGAATTTCCACACAGTATGTTATGATTAAGCGTTTATCACATCAGGTAACTGTCAGCTGCATTGGAACGATAAGTCTTGCACAATGCATTAAAGAAAAGAAAGGAAAGACAAAATAACACATTTGCCATTCTAAAAGAAGCTTGTCAAATATCATTATTTGTACACCATCTAGCAAGTAACAAAATAAACTTAATCTCTGATCAGTATTTTACAGCATGTCTTGAATAGTACACAGAACTTAATAAATAACTGGCTATTAAATTTTCAGAGCAAAGTAAGAACTGTTGATACAACTTTTAAATAATATCCGAGTATCTTACTGTCATAAACCTCAAAGTTTTGATAATCTCAGTAGTTACATCTCACCATAATACAAACAAGTTTAGGTTGTTGTAATATAAATATGAAACAATTCAAATAAATAACACATTTCCTACATCTGGATTTGCTAAGCTTACAAAAACAACATAATGATCAATAAAATAAATTAAAAAGTCAATAAATAAATCAATAAATATAAATAAATAAATAAATAAATAAAAACAAACAACAAAGACAATAAAAAGATGAGATAAATAAATATGTTATTGGTAAGTACATACATATTCACACAAAGATATATGTGAAACATAACACGTAAGTTATGAACTACAACATTTAGTTATTGCACGGTGTCTGAGAACTTCTAGTGCGATGTACCTCATCTCTTAGATTGCACCAAAATATCTGAAAAAGGCAATCCAATAAGTAAAAATTTGCAGGGAATCAATCTTTGATTCCTGAGTTCAGTCTTCAAGCCACAACCACCTCCATTCTATTTTCAATATTATCACGGCACCCTTCATATAGCATGGCAAAGATTTCCATGACAGCTAATGTCTGTTCATGGATCCCATCAAGGACACAAACTTGGCATTGGGATTAACTACACACATAAACAACTAGCACAAACAAAATTTTTCAAAACACAATAAATTGTTGGTCATTGCATTTGAAGTATCAGATCTATAAGAGACTTTAAAACCGCTTCAGTACAAAAGAACGTTCTATTCCACTTACTATGCAACCATTGCCACTGGGCCATATATAACTCCAAAAATAAAATATAGGCCTGTGCTCCCAGATAGTTCCATCCATTACACATTCCTAAAATCACATACACATTTCATCACAAAATACCAATCCAAAACAGTCTACTTACTCCCATACATAAGTCACTTTCTATCACAACCTTAAACCTTTATCCACTCAAAATCCATTCACAAACTGACATTGAAAATCAATACACAAAAATAACAAAGTTTCTGTTCTGAGAATCGAAGGTTTCTAAATATATTATAACCATACTTTTTATTAAAAACCATTGATTGTTATCTATTTCAAAATGAGGTATTTGTAGGTACTCAGTATTTATTGCGAAGAGGGTCCACGGAAGCATCTTTCCAGAATAATACATAATCACATATATGAAATAACAGACAGTTGTATCTTAGCAAAAGTTGCATCAAAAAACATGCCACATGACATAAATGCCCATACATGATTTTTATACCTACTAATTAGTCAAAAGGACTGATCAATAAATATATCACACTCCCTTAGTGATTACTGACAACAGATAAAATACTTCTGAGCAAGAAATTCAGACATTATTATGGCGACAACACGCGCTATTCTCATCAATCTGGAATCCCTCTTCTAGGCAGTTAAACACACAACTTTCCTAAGGAGTAAATGAGGTATTATGTTTGTGAGCTTGAGCTGAGCAAAAATGGCAAATGAGCCTTATAGCCTGAAAACGAGAAGTAGTTCAAAATGCCAAAAACTTGCTTCAGCTCCCAGATAAAATGTTACAGTTTTGCATCTATTGCTTATTATTCTTAGAGGATACACAGTAAGATCACCGAGAGCCGGCAAGAAACAGCATGTGTGGACCTTCTGACGATGCTCGTCTCCATATACACATCCCTGTATCAATGTACTCGTAGTTTTGTCGACTGTGCCGGCTAAGCGACAGCCCGAACTAAAGGTGCCCCCAAAATGAATGTCCCTCGAGGTGATGCGAGGGCACGTTGCACGTTGCACGTTGCACGTTGGACAAAACGTTCTCTCGACATTCGGGCGCGCTGGGCGGGCCGCCGCCTTCACACGGCAGCTTGGCGGGCCGGCCTACCCGGCGCGCAGCCGGCGCCATCAGCGTCTCCTCGTGAAACGCTCATCTTGGGGACAGCTTTACTGAACTAAGTCTGCTTTACGCCCGTTGTACGGGCCATTCATTTCGGCACCGATGGCGAAAAAATTGCTATGGAGGCAACGCATTTCAGAAGATTTACCTGTGTACTCTATTAATCCTAGTTATACACGGCAGTATTAAATTGTTTGTACTGTGAAATCCATAAAAATAATATTTAGATTACTTAATAAAAATGAATGAGGCAATGAATACATTGCGAACGAACTTTCTCTTACGGTGTAATGAAATGAAAGTTGGGTGTGCAACCTTGCATTACACACTTCTTGTGAGCTTCTGTTAAATAATCATATAAAAGGAAGACATGTAAAATAGTTGTCGATAAAATTGCTAATAGTGAAAAACATCTTTGATATTACAAATAGGGTCGGGAACGGGAAATCTTATTATGGTTGTTCGTTGTGTTACATATCAGTTTAAGGAAGAGGTCTCGCACATCACACAAAAACCGGACTCTGTACCTGATCAAATAAAAATGACGGGCGGCTGTTACTGCACCCCAAATCGAACTCAATCTACGTCAGGGTTTACGACGAGGCGTCCACCTCCCCGGCGGGGCTGGCCGCAGGGCTCGCTCTGCTCGGAGGGCGGGGGAGCGCCAGCATGCCTCGCTCTCTCTGCGAGTGGTGGATGTGGGTGGTGAGGTGCTTGGAGAGGTAGTCGGCGCGCGCGAAGCACTTGCCGCACATCTCGCAGTGGTAGGGGCGCTCGCCCGTGTGGATGCGCAGGTGGCGCGTGAGGTCCGACTTGCCGCCGAAGGCCCGGCCGCAGAAGAGGCAGACGAAGGGCCGCTCGCCCGTGTGCTTGCGCACGTGCAGCTTGAGGTTCTCCTTGGAGCGCACGCACTTGCCGCAAAAGGGGCACGCGAAGCGCCGCTCCTCGCGCTGCCTCAGCATGGTGTACAGGTTGTCTTGCGAGTTGCGAAAGGCGTCGGCGCCGCCGTTGGCCGTCATGGAGAGAGCGAAGGCCAGCGAGTCAATGGTGTCGTCCTGCTCCGTGTCCGACTTGGCGCCACCGCCGCCGCCGCCGCTGCCCGGCGCGCCGGACCGCGAGGCGGGCCTGGCCTCCCCCGTCACGCTGCTGCGACTGCCCATGTAGTAGTAGTCGTCCAGGGAGAACTTGTAGAAGTTTTGGTGCTCCGTCTTGCTGACGGGCGCGCTCGAGGCGCGCTCCACGCTCCGGCCCAGGGCCTCGTTGGAGCTGGACACCTGGTCGGCGTCGGTGTCCACGGGCGACAGGCTGGCCGTCGGCGGGGCGGTGACGCGCCCGCTGGGGTGCGGCGGCGTCGTGTGGCCGCCCATCATGAGCAGCATCCTGGAGCTGTACTCGGTGGACGAGATGGGCTCGAGCGGGGCGCCGCGCTGGTGGGGCAGCGGGTCGCACTCGGCGGCGCTGGGCGACCGCGAGCGCAGCTTCTCGAGGGCGTGGTTCAGCCGGTGCTTCTTGAAAGATTTGAGGTATCGAAACTGCATGCCGCATACTTCGCACGTGAAGAGCTTGTCTGCGGGCAGGCGAGCACGGTGGTTCTGCTCGCGGTGCTTTAAGTAGGCGGACCTGTATCGGTAACTCTGCCCACAGACCTCGCATCGAAAGGGCTTCTCCTCGCCGGCGCCCCCCGCCTCGCTGCCGCTGTCGCTGAGCGCGGCCAGTGACGGGTACTTACTGGTGTAGGCCGCGTGCTGCAGTGCCATGTGCTGCTCCAGCAGCCAGGGCGACGGGAAGTTGGCCAGGCAGATGATGCAGCGTACAGATGGCCCGGCCGACCCCGCCGGCGTGCCGCTCACGTCGTCCCCGCGGAGGTCCAGCGGAGGCGACGTCAACAGAGTGGGGTGCTGGAGCAGCGACAGGATCGGGCCCCCGGGGCCTGGAGGGCCAGGGGGACCCCCAGGAGGCGCCCCCGGACCCCCATGGCCTCCAGGGCCCGGCCCGGGCGGAGGGATGGGCCCGCCCCACGGGCTGAAGGCGGTGCCGAACGTCGGAAAAGGGAACTGGAACGGCGTAGAGGAGCGGCTGCTGGGCTGCGACTCACCGGGCCGCGCTCGCGAGCTGGAGGTGCACGGCCCGACGTACAGCGAGTCCTGGAGGGCAGAGAGAAACGGGCGTCACACGACATGGGGGCACGGAGCAAAGCGTCTACCTCACACAACAGCCCTCCCACAGCGCAGCGCGCGCAGGTGCTCGAAGCGCCGTAGAGGCGGGCAACCGATCTCGGCGCGAGCTCGGGAGCCACGTAGATTGCCTACCCTCTCGTTGACAGGCGCCCTCCACGCAGACGCTGGGCTGAGCGTAATCCGCACCAAAATCGTTCGTTGTTTGTTCCTAGTATGTTCCTAGACGCCGCGCGTATTGTGGCGTTCACAGGAAGGGGTATTTAGGGCACGTTGCACGTTGCACGTTCCTAGTATGTTCCTAGACGCCGCGCGTATTGTGGCGTTCACAGGAAGGGGTATTTAGGGCGAAAAGATTGTTTGGATGTAATAAACGAAAGCGATTCATACTTAATCAATTTTACAGTTAAGCTTTATTCATTACAAACAGAAGATAATGATACATGCTTTGTAATAAATAAAAAAAATAAAGGGAAATATTTTCTAGTGACTTTTTAAATTAATATACAATTAGCAAAAGCCAACACAAAATACGTGCGACCTAGTGGCTGCACATTATAAATAAGAGGAACGACGGGGAATGAGCCAGCTGTTCACATCTCGTGTTCTTTTGTCATGCATTTGTACCAACATGTCATGATCACTCAACTGTACATTATTTCCGTGTGATGAATAAATTATGTGAAATTTACAAGCATTTAATCACAGACTCAACACAGATTTTATCTGTAGATACAAACATTGACCTAAGAAAAAACGACAAATAATTATACTGCCTAAAAATAAACACAAAACACCTTCCACAAGATCTCTACATTACAGCAATCACTTGCATAACTGTCTCCTTGGGGAGAAAAAAAAAACAATCGTAATTACAACCACACACAAACAAGACAAACCATGCCCACAAACATAGTGCCAGGCAAGACACAGCCAACCATAATCAAAAATAAACATCACAACTAATTTTACATAACAGCATGTATACGTGGAATGCTTTAAAACAACGCAAACGGAAATTCCGCGGAGGAATTTATGTTTCTTTCAGCACAGAAATAAAGTTGCGTGAAACCATGATTAACAAGGATTTAACGGGTGAAATTCTTTGGCTTCTCTGACCTCTTACTTGTGGTATACGTTCTCTATATCAATAGAAAAATCGCAGCATGCGCCAGTTTGCGTTACTTTAATGCTAAAAACAGAACCACTCATGCTTCCCGATGACCTTGAAATGAGTTTAATTTCGAAAAGTATTCGTCGATCAAGACCGAGCACAGACTTTTAGATCACATTACATCCAACCGTTCCCTCACCAACTAACCAAAACAAAACTGAATTTTGGGATATGTCTAGGTCTGTAGTCACTACTGATAAGAAGCTTTGGTATCCAAAAAGTCTTTGTGTTAGTTTTATACACAAAATAAACACTGATAACGACAACAACGTAACTCTTTTCACAGACTTGTAAATCTGGGGGATATATAATCTGATTCTAAACAAAACACTTGATGATCCACTATAGGAATAGCAATAGAGCGCATTTTTCTCAAAAGAATGAAATCACTTTTACGAAGGGCAAGAAAAGGCCTGAATCAATAAAACGACGGAGTGATGTGCAACATGTGACGATAGAGGGTCTCAAATCAATGAGTCTACCAAAGCGGCATTTTTCTCAGGCGAAGTCGGCAGACATTGTGCATCAATTTTCATTTAGAAAACAGTTTGGAATCGTTCTTTAACATTGCTATGATTGTAGCGGTTAACAAGAAAGCAGAGCGTCTTTATGACGTCAACCTACATAATAAGAAAAATTCAATGGCGAGTTGCGGCTGCTTTACCCTGTTCATATGTTAATAACACGAGCACAGCCCGTCTGCAAGTGTACCTCGGTACAGTGTCTAGTGTACTGAATTTGAGCTTTTGTATCTGACAAAAATTAAAATGAGTCTAGTCAAATATAGTTCTTTGGTAATAGAGCCAGAATTTACAAATCAAAATACAATGTTATTTTCAAACCACATACTGATTCTATACTTGAAATTATAGATGAAACTTGGTCCCTTGATATGTATTGTAGCATTTTTCAATCCATTTTAACGCAAGAACAAAGAGGTTACACTTGAAACAGAAAGCGCATTTTGTTCAGATTCTCATGATAGTAACGAACCCTGCTCGACAAAAGTTTAGAGCAAGCACGCAATAATACGGAAATAACACATTGATTTTGGGAAGACCCTTCAAGTCAAACGAAAGACGTAGTACGTACGCACACTGCTGTCGGCCAAGTTCGGCCAAGTTGAATTTTAACCAAGCATATTGCTTATTCGGAATTCTGGTCGTTATACGAGACTGACAAAGTAAGCAAGGGACAAAACCGTTAAAATCGAAAGTTGATAAAATATCGGCCAGGTTCTTAATTTAATTTCTACGCCCGCACAATATTCGATCAGCAGTTACAGCAATTCATAAGATGATTTAAGATACGGAATGTCTACCTATAGCTAAACAGATACTGTCCACAATAACATGGTAACAATAGATTTGAAAACAAATAATAGAAGCTAACAAGATTTCTTATAACGTGTCCATCGTCATAACAGTTAAGCAGCTACAAAAATATTCTGCCTCATTTACAACGAAACAACATCTAACGAGATTATGCGCGTTAACCCTGACGCGAATAATGCACAGCAAAACTGTGGGTCTTCAAAAATAGATATATATTTTAGACAAATGAAATATTGTATTGTAATATTTATTGCTTCTGGTTTACGAATGCGTAATTTGTAGTGCGTACTGTTTCAGAGCAGTATGGTGCCTGTCAGCTTTAACAAAAGTATATTAGCATCATTACTCCCTAAACCTAACAAAAATCTGTACAACAGAGGGAATTTCAGCAACCAAAACGCCTTTAGCTCCTGGGTGGCCACCACGCTTCGTCATCACCTTTCACAACCAAAGAGATATGTCTGCATCAAATAAAATATATATCCAATGGCTGTCGGGCCCGCATTACAGATTTCGACCCATACTTAACATCTGTTCCCTTATGAATAAGAGAAGTGTAACGAGATAAGGATGGCGGGGGAAAAGCAAGTAAGAAAAACGTTTCCAAAGACAAAATCCACACAGTTAAAATTATTTAGTGGAATACCGGGTAAAGTAAAAGGGATTGGTCGAGTTCAGAAATATATCATTGAAGGCAATTCAACTTTCTCTGCGCAAAAAATAAAAATAATATTTGTTGTCCCTGAATTGCAGGATAATAAGCTTGAAATTAAACGGCTGTTATCATCTGAAGTGCGGACAGGAATGTGTATTTATTGATGCAGAAGTGTGGCAAAACAAATGGTATGACCTCCAGGCTATTAGTTGTACTTGGTCGCGTTCGCTTCTTGCTGCAGCGCTTGCAAAGTACTAACCACTAAACTATTAGTAGTATCACATTCCACTCGAGCTTCTCCATCCACGCTCTGCCCACCACCCGATCGCCCCTAATACTGTTAACAAAAATCTCTACAACAGAACAAAATAAATAAAAACAAACCCAGATAGGACAGGTAATGGGGACCTCTATCACAAGTGAGTACGATGAGGGACACCCTCCTACTATGGGGCCATGCACAAATCTTGTAACGCATACATTTGATATGAAAGATGAGTTAATTCAATAATGATCATAGATGTGCAACAACGCACTAAAGAGTAAATGGCATTCTCACAGAAGTACAATAGAAATGCGTTCCAAAATATGTGCATAGTCCCGTACATTGGCATTATAACACACAGATAAACATCTGTGAAGCGTACTGCTCAAATCGCATGCGCTCCACTCATCTGGGCTGATCAGGTTGGGTTTGGGATCAGGTGTACGTTTCCCAACCATGAAAAGCACAAATTTTGTACCGACATTACTTAAACAAATAGATCTCAAGGCATCCGAGTGAATGCACAGCAATCTCAGTCATTTTCTAAAGCAAAAACTTTGAAACACTTAATGAGACAGTCTATTTGTAAACAAGTCATTTATGAGAGGGCCAATAACGTTAAATATTGTTTACAAAAGACATCTTTGACAAGGATTCTTTTCCAAATGACACAATTTATAAAATATTGTTTCTAAACAATTTTAACTGTACCGTATTTACCCTTTAACAAGATACAAATATAGTTGGTCATTGATTTGTTAACTACGAGATTTTCTGTGAGCAAAGGGCTGATTGAGGGGGAGACGGCAGGGCAGAGATCTCTGACGCAAAGAAAACACTTCCAGGTCTCTTTACGTCTAGTATAACTAGTATGAATAATGGTTCTTTCAGAAAGCCCGTTCTCCGTAGACCCTGTTAAAATTAATTTCAGAAAAAGAGAATTAATGACAGAAAAGATCATATACGAAAATAAAAGGGCTGAAAAGAAGATCACTTCCGTTTTATAACTAAGTGATGGATGATTGAGAGCGGTGACAACTATGATCTCAAACAAACGATATAATCTTTGACAGAACTTGGAGGGGCACATAACTAGTGATCTTGGAACTGAGTAAATACGGTTCTTTGTTTTGTCAATTAACAGAAAATGTCGTGATACGCATAAAACACGTTCGCTCTGCACTCTTTCATTTCAAAACTAAACAAATATCATATTTACAAAAAATTAAATATGTATGTATAAACATTATCACATAAAGCGCTACCTACTGTACGGGTCTCTCTCCATTCACACTGTGAATACTAAACAACGCGATCTCGCTACACGATCCAGTGATTCACATAGTTAAAAGCAGCCTATATGGTGGGATCTTCATCAAAGCTCTAGATTCGGGCCAAATGTGTACAAACTATAAATGAGTATAACGATTATGCCAAAATACATCATCTACACAGTTTCCTTTCTATGTTTGTACGAAACACAAACACGCAAACCTAAACCAATAAATAACCACGAATAAACATGAAATGTATTATGTTATTTTTAAAGAATGCTTTTTAAATCCTTCAGTATAAATATTCTATATCTCAGTTAAGGACTAGATAACCTTCGAATTCCTCAATTACAGTTGCAGCTCTTTTTTCCATTGTACACACAACCTGCTCCTGAGCTATTCACCACCGCTAGCACAACATTGTAACATATCCTAATGTTTTGTTAAAGCACTCGAAAAGATGAAAAGCGAGTTTGTTTTTCATCACATCAGTCTTTTGAGACAACCGTCAGCTTCGTCGACCCGCGCTCTGAAGCATGAGTCACATGTCCCAGCCAGTCTTAATGTATAGTCATCTTTAATGACACAGAGGTGTCGATACCTCTACATTAGACTCTGCCTTCTCAGCAACGGTAGTAATAATATCTATCTTTCGCCCACTTGAAGAAACTCTTAGATATATTATTTTCATAATTCCGAACAAGACCAATTAATGAAGTCGTCAAACAAATTAATTTAAAATAAGCTTCAATAAAGAATGTCTTGTAAGGGCTGAGGATGGGCAATATCACAAGCACGCCACTGATTTGGGATAGTCTAGCGTCAAGGTATCGTCTTGGGTACTAAGGAGATTCCAGTGTTTAACTCAAATACACTTTTGTAATCGGCAGACAATAACAAGTCTATTGTTTTTAAAACAACGTACGTCCGAGCAGTACGAGAGATATGAATGGAAATACACTTAGAGCTCTCCTAGAAGAACGATGATTAGAGTCAACGCACCTCCATTTAACATCAACCTAAAACAGAACAACCGGTTTAAACGAATTCCCACGATTTTTTTTTTAATTTATCTGGCGCTAGCTTAGCGTCTCCTTAATGTTACCAAATCAACTGCAAGGCATACAGAACTACTTCACTAGTTTTAAATGCTGCTTACAAATATTTTATCTATCAGTACTGCATTTTTCCTAGAGTCTACTTACACATTGGGTTTAATATATGTATTGACATTCAACATTTAATGGTTCCTATAAAGTGTAAGGAAAACCCTGGTTCCTATCATATTAGTTTATCAAAACTACTGAAGCCTCTTATTTGTGATCAATTTCATCCCAAAAAACATTAATTTAAACTATGCCACAAGAATAACTGAACAATAATGCCTATTAATTTGGTTATTAATCGAACGGCAGATATATGTGATCATTATTGTTGAGCTCAGATTACAAAACGTTGAGTGAATATATAAAATACACCTGTGAGGTTTTTTATATGACTCTTCGGCAAAATGCATCCGATAAAAGAAAAATTTAAGAGACCTTTCATCACATAAAACCGATAGCCATAATTTAACACAGACAGCACTACGTGTACTTATTGCTGAAACGGTTCGGGGCGAGCTCCTCTAAGTGCACAGGAAAGGGGGAAGTGGGAGGGGGCCTTATAGGATTACCGCATTTGGACGCGGCGTGAATCAAAACACAAGACGAGAATGTCCTCTAGATCTTGCTCGGTTAATCTAGGTATTACTTACAAGGATTTTCTATTCTTTGTGGCATGCACGAGTGAATTGTTTGTGTTTTAATTTTAATAATGCGAAATAGTGGGTACGACGGGGCAAAGTTTAGATTTTGTACAAGGGAGAACGCCTGTGAATATCTAAGCTACTTGGCAGAGTATCAACTCCCTCTCACCCCCACCACCTAGTTTTTTTTCTAACTAAACATTCCGATATGTAGCTATCGCCGGAGCCAACGGCAACGGTGCAATACATTGGTATCAACATTCATCGGTGCATGGAAGCTACGACGAACACATTACAACAAAACGGGAGAACGGAAACTAAAACATTACGTTGCGGAGTAAAACGCCGCGCTATAAAAAATCTTTAAAAATATTCTATCACATTTGTCCTTACTTCGTCTATACATCATACTAGAAGCACTTACGCCCCTACAACACAGTCTAGCCTCACACACACGTCCCTATTGAGGCTGCGCTTGCGCCTCTTCCCCCGCGTCGACGGGGCTGCCGGGCGAGGATAGGAACTTGCGGACGTACTTTGGATAGTGGGTCTTCTCGTGCGCCTTGAGTATGGTGGAGCGCGAGAATGTCTTACCGCACAGGGTGCACCGGAACGGGCGCTCGCCCGTGTGCACGCGGCAGTGGTCCTTCATGTGGTGCCGGAGCTTGAACGCCTTACCGCAGTACTCGCACTTGAACGGCCGGTCCCCCGTGTGCGCGGGGAGGTGGGCGATGAGTGACCCCACGTCGGGGAACGACTTGCCGCAGAACTTGCAGAGCACCGTGTTGGGCGCGCCGTCCAGCTCCATGATGGGGCCGTCGTGGTAGTGCGACACGCTGGCCAGATGGTTCTCGATCAGGTTGAGGGGCTCCAGCAGTCCCAGGCCGGCGCCCAGGCCGGGTGGCGGCTGCATAGCGAGCTGCTCGCGGAACTTGAGCGTCTCCAGGCTGTGCGACAAGATGTGCCGCGTCAACTTGCTCTGGTGGGGGAACGTGGCTCCGCAGTACGAGCAGAGGAAGGGTCGGGGCGGGGATGCCCTGTCCCCATCCACTCCCCCACCCCCTCGTCCCCCCAGGCCCTGGCTCTCCTGCAACCAAAAACAAAAAGGAACATCAACTTCTTTTTTCTTTCTAACCGTTTATCGGTGATTGTTACTATGGTCGTTAATGTGATTAAGAATCAATGACTGTCCATCTTAGAGGCGCATTCTTTCGGTGCAGCTACATTCGGTTTGTCACAAAGCCACAAAGTCTCTTGCGACCAACAGTGGAGGTAAATCATCTTTTCGGTCATCTATCTTAAGTGCAAGGAAAAGTGAGGGAATTCCAAAATTTCACCCCCCGAGCGAGTAGAGTACTAAAAAAAGGCATTAAGAAGTTGACGTTCATTTTGTTTTGGCAGCAGAGGCGGGGAGGTTTGCTCTGGTAACAGGAAGCTCTCCTACAACCCCGCCCCATTCCCCTCTCAAATCTCTCAATCTTCTGCGTTAATTTAGATTACATAGCTATGAACCATGAATCAAAAGAAAAAAACTAACAAGAGAAAGATAAACGTAAGAGCCAAGAGAGAGAAAGAGAAAGAAAGGATAAAATAATTTAAATAAATATTAAACAATCAACGGCCAAAAAAATGAAGGTCAACTTCTTGAAAAAAAGCAAGACAGATTAATTTTCCAAGAAGAACATGCGTGCAATCACATATACATACACACATACATCCACTGGATCCACATGCATTTAATTCTCCTTTAGGACAGTGTGAGTGCTGCTTTGTCTTTTTCAGAATTGCAAATATCTTTTATTTAAACCCTCATAATTGGGTCTATATTTATTTAAGACATCGATCTGCCACTATTCTTAATTTACTTCGGGGCAATTAAGGAAACATTTTGTGTGCTGAATTTAGTTGCACACATGTAGATTATTACCTCGTTTTGACTACAGAAATTGGGCACTCGCTCGAGGGGAGTTGCATTGAACCGCCTGTGTTAATCGGCTATAGTCAGCAAAGAGCTTCCCGTTCTAAACTGAAGAACCAACGACAGCTGTTCATCATTCGGTCATGACTGATTCAACAAAATAAAATATCTTGACGATGCTTTACGCGTTACGGACACAACATACTCGCCCTTTCTCGGACACCTATGGTCCCAGTTTTTGACGGTTTATAAGTGTAAAAGCCGGTAGCGTTTTAAATGCAGAGTACTAGTTCTAGTTCTAGGATAAAATAATACTGGAGCGATTCATAAAAGCGTCTAAAGATAAAATACAAGTAGTAAATATATTTGGCTGTCAATAAATAAGCTGACAAACTATGATGTAAAAATGAAACGATATAGTGAAAATAAATTACTGTCTATTTTTCCATGCAGAGTAAATTGAGACATGCAACGATAAATGATGGTCAAGGGGTTGCAATAGGTAAAAAATATGGGGGTGTGGGCAGTACTGTGAAGGTGGGGATAAACGTAACCAAACAAGGAGATGGGTTTCATTCATGTGCCGGGAATATCACTCATGGTGTTTGTGAGTGGCGCGGATGCGAATTGTAGAAACCGCGCGCTCGAACGGTTCTTTCGCACTTGTCGCGATTCTAAAGCATGCGGTACGATAATTATGGGATCAGCAAAACCAAATGTGACATATTTCAGTTGTAACTTCTAGATTGGTTCCAGTTTTTCTAATTTGCAAGACACTAGGATCTATAGAAAGGATATTAGAGGTCATCTATCAACAAAAGTTAACGGCATCTAGATGTCGAATTTATTGAAATTCTAAAAATGTTTTCTTGAAACATCTAAGATGAGTGACGAAAACATCTAGAAAGATATATATACATAACGCTGTGCTGACGCTACTTCTACGTCCTTCATGTCTATGTAAAAGAGCACCGCTAATTATGCCGAACAGCAACGCACAAACCGAACTGTCGCGTAACCCCTAGGCCTCTCCCTAAACACGTCGCCGCGCCTCGATACTCGAATGGGCCCGCCCCGCGCAGGTGTGGGAGTGTGACTCGTGGATCCGCAGGAGTTGGAATGTATACAGTCAATGTCACTCACCGAATCGGGCGGATGCCGGCTGTAGTCTGACGGGCTTTCACTCGTGGCGCTCTTGTCGTCTCGGTCTCCTCTGTCCCAATCCACTTCCTTTTTCAGAGACTGTGGGACCAAACAGGAAGGCAGATGAGCCATCTCAAATCACCCGAGGCACTAAAATTCAAGTCAAAAGTTGAAGAATCACTCACCAGTGGCACTTGCTGCACGGGCGGCAGGCCGGACGGCCCAGGGATGGGGCTCCCTGCTAGGCCGAGGGGCGTTCCCAGGGGCGTGCCGAGGGGCGTTCCGAGGGGAGAGGTGAGGCGGCTGCTCGCGGCGGACGAGCAGGGTGGTTGGACTAGTGAGAGTGGTGACGAGGGCAGGCCGCACACCCCGGGTGGGCAGCCCGAGCACCCCGCCAACGTGGCCGGGATGCCGTTGTTGTTGTTGTTATTGTTGATGTTGGCACTGCTGCTGCCGCTGTTGCTCGGGTTGCTCAGGTTGGTGGCCATGGTCATGTCGCTGGGCTCGCCGCTGCAGGTGCTAAGCGGGGACCCCGCCATCATGTCGGCCTCGTCCGCCGAGCAGTCGGCGTCCGCGGGCCCGCCAGGGTCCGGGTCGTGGCAGTCGTAGTCCGGGCTCGAGTCCCCGCGCCGGAGGTGGTCTATCCGGGACTCCACCCTCGAGTGGTCCATCCTGGATTCCATCCTGGACAGTGGCCGCGCTATCCGCTTGCTGGGCGGGCCCGACATGCCCGACGACGGCGAGAGGCTGCGGCTGTGTGACGGCGGCCGCGGGGGCGGCGGCAGCGCGGGGGCGGGCAGCGGCGGCGAGTCCGGGCTGCTGTTGAGGAGCCGCGAGTGGTGGTGCGTTAGCGGCAGCGGTAGCGGCATGGGGTGCGCCAGCAGCGGCACGTGGACGCCCGGGTGGGGGTGCACGCCACCGTGTAGGCCCAGCAGCAGCTCCCCCGGCTCCAGGAGGCTGACGCCGTTGGCGGAGCTCCTGGGCGGCGCTGACAGCGGTAGGGGGCTGGGCGACGAGACGGACGGACTCTGCCTGTGCCTTTGTACTAAACTCTGGGGGTGCTCCTGAGGTGGCGGCGGCTGGGGTTGCCGCACATCGTCTTCTCTGTTCACTTCACGGTCTTGCTGATCACTGCGATCTCTTCTCCGGTCCTTGTCTTCCCTATCTCTATCACGTTCTCTTTCTCTTTCCCGTTCCCTTTCTCTGTCTCTTTCTCTATCTCTGTCTCTTTCTCGTTCTCTCTCCCGTTCCCGTTCCCTATCTCTATCCCTATCCCGTTCCCTCTCTCTTTCCCGTTCCCTCTCTTGGTCTCTATCCTTGTCGTCGTGCTCTTTGTCGCGATCCCGGTCGCGGTCCCTGTCCCGGTCCCTATCCCGCTCCGCCTCCTTCTCGTGCGACTTGTCCAGGTTGGTCATCTCGGCCAGCCCCTTCACCTTGAGGCTCTCGGCCGTCTTGAGGAGCGCGGACAGGCGGCAGTACTCCACATTCACCTCCCCTTTGTACATGAACTCGACGAGCGTCCGCAGCTCCCGGAAGCACACGTCCTTGAGGATGACGATGGGGTGGCGAGCGGGGTGCGCGATGAACAGCGTCTGGAAGTAGGACGAGCAGGCCGAGAGCACCACCTTGTGCGCACGGATCGAGTGGCCCTCCTCGGCGCAAGCCAGCGTCACGTCCACAAGCGACCCGTCCTCCAGGAGCTGACTGAATACGCCGAGAAGGTTGCTCTGATGATTGTTCCACCTCAGACAGTAGTGCTCCCCACTGCCCATGTCTAGTCTTCTCACCCTGCAACAGACGGAACAGACACGAGTTAGACTAATGTGCCGGCGTTTTCACAGAACGGGGAGATAAGAAAGGAAGGAGCGCGAGGATTCTTGTCACAGCTCGTCAAATCGAGACGAGCACAACTTGCGAATTCTTGGGGAGGGGTGCAGCCCTCGCCGCCCACCACCGCCATCGGCCCATTCTAATTACCAGCACACAGAGGAGAGTGTAACCGGGCGCCGCCGCTGCGGCTGGGAGCCGCCGAGGCGAGAGATACTGCGTTTAGGAGGCAGCGAATAACGTAGCCAGCTACGTCAGCAGCGGCCAGCTTTGAGGAGATTTGAAGGAACACACACACGCACACACATACACACACCCGCACACTGCAGCAGAGCCGCGCAGCTCCGAAACTGCTGGCTGCTCCCAGGATGCAAGGCGGCCAACTATTGTAGTGGCACAGCAATTAAAAACAAGAGTAATCAAACAGTGAGAAAACGCCGTCAAAAAATGACTGTACGCCCTCATTCACGAAAGCGGCGATAAAAACGCGAGTATGCGAACAACTTCTCTTCACAGCCTAAGTCAATAACAGTTTCTCTCTCTCTCTTTCCAACAATGGGGCGCGCCACTCTCCGCTCTCCCAAAACTTCAACGACAAGAAAGAAGGAAATTTGGCAGAGCAGCAGCCTGCCCAGCCTGCCCGGCCGGGCGATAAAGGCTGCACGGGCGCCCACTTGGCGTGGCGTGTCACCTGCGCCCGTGCACACCCGCGCCGCCCTGCCGCGCCCGTGCGCCTGACGCACACCGGCGTCCACGTGCCCCGCCATCGCGGCGCACACAGGATCCATGATTGCGTGTGCAACGCGATTTTGGCGGGCGGCTCGCGCGCGCACACATACGTGCACACACACACACACATGCACACGCGTCGCCCGAGTGATGGTGTACGTACTGTACAGCCGGCGGGGCGGGACGGGACGTATGATCAACGCGCACACTTCACACGCCGGCGCAATGAACAGATAATGCACAGGGCACTTGAGACACGTGTCATAGCGCTCACCCTGCTCGCTCTCTCTGTCTCTGTCTCTCTCTCTCTCTCCTCCGTCTCCCTCGCACACCACCACCACCAGACATGCATAAATACATTTCCCCAAGAGAAGTTCCCGCGCGCGCCGCGTCGCGTCTCCACCGGACTGACTGACACTACCGCACACTAATCATTATCACCCCCTCCGCAGCGACAAGTTGGACGACAAACGTTTACACGCACACATACACGGCACACACACACACTCACACACACACCGTCCCACCGTCCCGATGAAGGGACACCAGGGAGATCCGATTAATTACCCACAACGCGACCGAAGAGGCGTGCACGAGTGTGTGTGTAAGTGTGCGTGTGGGCGAGTGTGTAAGTGTGAGTGTGCGTATGTGTGAGTCTGTGAGTGTGTTTCGCGGCGCGGTGGCGTGCACGTGTGGAAGCCCCCGTCAATAAGTACCGCGAGCGTGCCCCCCGCGCCCGCCGCAGCGCGCGCCCGCCCGCACCATGCACGCCGCCGGCTATGTACGAGGTATACATACATGGCAGATACCAAGCAGAGATACACGTCCCTCTGCCATACAGCACAGTTGTAGTAAAACTTGCACACGAGGCGCGCAAAAGCAAGAGAGAAAGAGAGAGAAACTATATGGAAAAGAACGGAGACGGAGAGACCCGGCGCAACGTGTGAAAATATAATGGACATAATAAAGGACATCCGATTTAGAAAAAATGTTAAATAATGATAATGTAATAGACACACGGGGCCCAACACAGAGACAGCCACACACACACAGCAACACACGAACACGTCCATATACTTCCGTTCGTTTTCCAGATCGATAATCTGCGGCGCAGTGACACAGTACCCGGCCGGCGCCGCCGCAGCGCGATCACGCACGCAGGCAAATTAACAGTTTGCACGAACGCCATCAAGGCGGCTGGGGGCGTGCGTGCACGCACCCGCGCGACCACGCACGAGAGGACGGGGCGACGGACGTGCGAGCGGTCGGTGGAAATGCCTTCGTGCACGCCACTCACACCGCGCGCATACACACACTCACACACCATCGCAGACACCCACGCACACACACACACACGCACTGGCCCACACCCACACAACCGCACGCACGCACGCGCTAAGCACACGCACGACTTGATGTCTTCCGCTCGGCAAACAGTCGTGCCGTGTCATGTCGTTACGTTTCGGCGAACTCCGCAGCAGCGAGCGGCTCTCGCGGCGCGCGGGGCTCGGCTCGGCACACGTGCCCGCCGTGCGTGCGTCCACGGCCGCGTCCTTGCACTCACGGCACGTCACAATAAAGGACGGGACGGAACTCGGCGAGCTGGGCCCGAGCACTCGCGAGGAACTCGTTCACCCGCTCACTCACTCACTCGTACAGGCACGCACACGTCCACTCACTCACTCACCCACACAACACTCGCGGCAGACGAGCGAGGCTGGCAGAAAGACAGGCGGACTGTGCTGTTGCCGTGGGCCCCGGGGGACAGGGCGCGATGGGGCGGGGCGGGGCGGGGCGAGCGAGGCTGGCAGAAAGACAGGCGGACTGTGCTGTTGCCGTGGGCCCCGGGGGACAGGGCGCGATGGGGCGGGGCGAGGCAGGGCGGGCGCAGGCCGCACTCTCAAACTGCTGCCGAATCACGCGGCTTCGATCGTCATCGGCAGTGAACACTTCCGCACTGCACGCTCCCGACCCTGCCCACCCCGCCCCCGCCCCGCCACAACCCGCTGCGCCGTGCCCTACACCGCCGCCCCGCGCCGCCCCGCCCTGCCCTCCGACCGACCGACCCCGCGCCGGGCCGCGCCGGGCTGCGCCGGGCCGGGGGCGCCGTGCCCCAGCTGGGGTTGCCAGGGGGCACGGGCCCACCCCGAAAAAGGTACAGTGAGACACGCCCACTCACTCCCTACCGCCTACTGTACTCGGTGTACTCGCACAAGAGGGGCTGCACTGGCTCACTTCACTGCGCCGTCAAGTATCCACTGGCACACACTTGTTCACATTCACCGACAGTCACACTTGCTTGCAAATCACCGCCGTCGGCGGTCACTGTCTTGGCGCGTCGCACTTTGCGTAGAGTTGTCCGTGCACACTTGTGTCACTGCTGCTGCTGCTGCGGAAGTCCTTCGTCGGGGTTGGGCGGCCCCGGCCGGGGCGGCGCAGGGTGCGAGCTGACCCAGTGCCGCGGCGCGGGGCGAGGCGCGGGGCGCGGCGGGCGCCTCCTTGTATCAGCTGATTCGTTTAAGTGTGCGGGGGCCCGGGGCGGGCCTAGGCGAGCGCAGCCGAGCCGAGCCGGCCGGGGACACAGCAGTCACTTTGACAAGTCGCGGCCGAGCCGAGCCGAGCCGTGCCGGGCGCGGGGGGGCCGGGCGGCCGGGCCGCGAAACGGCACGTGCAATCAACGCATCATCCTTGGACTTGCAAAAACCCGGCAGTAGGCCCGGGGCCGCTCGGCCCAGCCCGCCGGCCCAGCGCTCACACACTCGCACACGCGCGCGCACACACACGCATCCACAAGCGCAGGGCACTGGCGTGACCTTGGCGATGCACCCCTGTCACACTGCACTTCACTGGATGACAGGTCGGGGGCGTGGCGGGCCGGGCGGGCGGGCGCCGCGGGCGCCGCGGGCGCCCCGCACCCGCACCATGTCTACTGGTCCAGGCACGACCGGCAGCGGCGACGGCAACAGAAGCAGCAGCAGCAGCAGATGAAGTGCGTCTTGAGGTGGGCAATCCGATTGGCGCGCAACACTTATCCCGGACGGGGGCGGGCGGGCAGGCGGGCGGGGCGCGCTCGGAGGGAAGGACACTACGGGCGGGCGAGCGGGGGCGCGCGGGCGGGCGGGCGGCGCGCGCGCACGCACTAAACTACACTTGTGCCATTACCTTCCTTCATGAAATAGAATAGTGGTTCTCCCTCGGCAACAGCACACACACTGGCGCGTCCGGCCCCCAGTGACGTTGCCGGCCGACTGAGCCGCCCAGCGCCGCGCTACAGCGTGTGGCAGGCCCAGGCCCAGGCGCGGCGGCGCTCGGCTCGACTCGGCTCGACTCGGCCCGGCGCGGTGCGGCGCGGCGGGGCACGGCGCGGCACGGCGCGGCACGGCGCGGCGCGGCTCACCAACGCAGTAAAGCAGTCAGTTGATAGTCGCGCTCACGCCCGCACAAGTCAAGCCGGCGACCGTGCTGCTCCCTCGGGGTGGCGTGGGCATGTGAGACGAACGAGGGAAATCGCCTCCCGATTTTAGGAAGGCGACCACAATCGAAACGCGGCTTGGAACCGGATTCGGGCCGCGCCTCGCACGGGGGGATTTCGGCGGCTCGCTTGACTCGCGCGGTGGCCGTCGCGGCCGTGGTGGGGGAGCGGTGGGTGGGGACGCCGGGAGCGAATCGT